GATCACTATGCTCAATGGAGATTCATTACCACAGTTATTGATGCAAGTCATTAGATTTGTAATGCCCTCAAAGAATAAACAATTGAAGAAATTATTACATTTTTATTGGGAGATATGTCCAAAGACTAATCCCGATGGGAAGTTAAAACAGGAGATGATTTTGGTTTGGTATGAAATCGAACATTGGTGATTTGGGGATTATTATTGTAAATAGATTAATGCAAGATCGAAACGATGCGTTCGTGTCTAATAGTAATAATTGAAGTTTGTTTGTTGATTATCAATACATCTGTACTATTTCTAGCACCATGACACGTGTATTTTATTTAACCAGAAAACATTAATTTACGTTATATATCGATTGATTTAGCAATGCTATTAGAAATGACCTCCAACATCCAAATGAATATATAAGAGGAGCCACTCTTCGGTTTCTGTGTAAACTGCGTGAACCCGAGTTGCTTGAACCATTAGTTCCGTCCTGTCGATTGTGTCTGGTATGCCTTTTTCGTGAATGAGGGTTTTTGTCATTACACATGAAATCTCCTTGTCACCACATTAATTGTTCCCGGTCAATAATTATTAGGAACATCGACATGGATACGTCAGGAAGAACGCCGTATTCGCGATATACACCATTTATAAGCACTTTGAATATCTCATTCCTGACGCCCCTGAACTGATTCAATCATTCCTGATAGCTGTGCGTAAAATACAATGCGATTTTTGTGGATCAAAAGTTTGTCTTGTTGATATTTTGTCTATTTTTAGGAGGCAGATCAAACTTGTAAAAGGAATGCTTTTGTGATGCTATGTAACACTAGTCAGGCACGGGCGGTAGAATATCTTAATGAGGTGTTTGATCAAGTACCAAACTTTGATGAACTGTTGCAGATGGCAGTGATTGAGCTTATCAGGAAAGACTGTCGAAATAACTCGGTTAATAGGGTTAGTAGTCTACTATTACATTTGAAACTGCATTAATACGAGATTGGCATTTTCGAGAAAATAACTATTATACTAATTCGAACTCTATGCAGGGAAAGTACATTCGATGTATATTTGAATTGCTTAGCGCGTCATCACATTCAGTAAAATATGAAGCCGCAACATCGCTAATGGCTCTCACTCACGCACCTGCTGCAGTAAAAGGTAAAGTAGGCTGAGAAAAAAAAAGCAAGATACATATGTACTGCACAATTTTCTAATACATTCTATACATATTAGCGGCGGTGTCTTGCATTACATACAAGTTCAGAGTGATGTTCACAATAACATTTGCAATTTATAGTCGAGTATGTGCCCACCGTGCTGGCTTGATCCGCAAATACAATCTCAACGTGTGCCGTCAGTGCTTCCGTGAATATGCCAAAGATATTGGATTCAAGAAGGTACGTGGATTATTGACACCTGAGCGTAACATGGATTCACGCAGTAATCTGTTGTCTTTTTTTTCTTTGTATAGTATCGTTAATAGGCTTTCCCCCGTCTTAAACGATTGTACTAAATTTAGTACACCATTAATAAGTCTTTCAACATACTTGATTCTATTCAAGTTATGCTAGAATGTACACTGGTTTTCGAGTCTACACTTGTGCTAATATTTGCCAATAAAAATTCAATGTGAGCCCCGTCTCATCCACACACAAAAACTTTAATGACAAAACCATTAATGAATGGAATGTGAAAATGGCTTTGAATGGAATATGAAAAAGGCTTGAGTGGACATTGTCAGTTGATGTGCGAACAAAAGTAACATATTTGGCATACAATAAAGTCTTTACAAAAGCAATTTGAACCGCAGCGTACATATAATTGTTATTATTGATATAAGCTTATTCTATGACATTTTTTTATTGATATAAATTATTCCATATGAAAAAATCTATGAATAATTTTTATAGAGTTTTCGTGATATCTCATTCTAGGCAGCAGATTTTTGAGCTATCAAAATAATATCAAACTGGAGTCAGAATATTACCCATAAAGAATGACATACAGCGACGCATACTTACCCAACGTAATCTTGTCTCCTAGACTTAAAGCGATTCCCTGAGTCTTGCTCCTAATACGAACATGACCACTGATCGCACCATCGGTTTGCTTCTCGATGCTGAGATTTGCCAATGCATCCTCACCTATTCGAGAAAACATAAAGAATGTGTCATTAGTTCAAACATCCTTTTGACTGTTGGAACATCCCATCAATACGAGAATGGCTTACCAAAAATACTCCTGGCATACATATTGGCAGATAAGAACCCACAATCTCCTTCCAGGGCCGCCTCGGGAGTCAAGCAAGACATATTTGTGGATTTCATAATATGGTTCAAGTAATCGCGAAGATCACTACAAAATCGATTACATGTTAGAACATCAAGCTAGATTAAATAATACAAACGAAATGGGAATAGGGTATACGCACGCGATGTTGGTATTAACGTTAACTTTGTTTTCCCATTCAAATTCAGACCACATGCTTCGGAACTAAATGATGGGAAGAAAAAGTATTAACACGTGCAACGTTAACAAAAATAGTAAGCAGATGCGGAAAAAAAGACATGCTGTAAAATAAAGCGATGAAATCGCCCAATTATATTAGATTCTGGTAACTCGGTACCGAATATCGCTTTACCTGGGTTTCATTGCAATAAGCAGGGTTTATATAGTCCATGATGTCAATATGAATGTCATTCATGACGACACAATTACTTTCCGATGTTCCCGGTCCATCATATACAATATTACCAAATATGACTCCCGCTTCAGTAGATGAGACCTAAATAGATATAAACAAGACAATGCAATTTAGATATATAAATATACGAATCACTCATGCGCGATTATTTTTCTTTTTAGCCTGACCTTAATTGTAGCTTTTACGCTGTGAACACTATGAGGAGCAAGATTGTGCTGTGTAGGACGTTCGACCAACTTCAAATCACCAAGTGTAGCAAACTCTAACGTCAAATTCTGCAGTGTTTCGCTTGTTTGATTGACAATTAGAACGTCTGAAAATGAACTATTTGTAAGTCGAATATAAATTACAGTACAACCGAAAACTTGTATTTGCAAGATGTTTACCAAGAAGAATATCGAATTGATGGACGTTGACGTAAGCCTCGGCGTACACGGGATCAGAGAACCCTTATAAAAGAAAAAGACATAAAGTCAAGTTACAAGCGACCATTACAATATGGCAACCACCAAGCCACGAAATCTCAAAACAGGTTTCGGTATCAGACAGCAATACTGACCAGTCAATTGCACCACACGACTTAATTTTGAAATCAAATCGTCTTTTGGGTCAGTCTGACCGGTAGCTCGCGTCAAATCTAGCTCATACTAAACGAATAACGTGAGCGTGGATTAGGGTATATTCGACAGGGTAAATAAGAAAATTTTTACAACTTTGAAAATTCGTCAATGAAGTACCTCATCAGCCTCGTCTCCAAGATTACGTTTAGAGAACTGTCTAAACGTAATCAAATCATCCACCTGTCCGGCCGCGGCAGACTTATCCTTTGATCTCTTGGCTGCCGCTTTTTTCTACGGAAAACAGGAACCCCACTTCATATCAGCAAAGTTGTTGAACACGTGCGAAATTCATGTCACATAAATATTACCTCTTCATTTTCCACAATTCTTGTCAACGCGGCCTTGGTGTCATGTAAAAATATTGATTTAATTGTGTTGTCGTTTGAAAATTCTTGTAACGCATGCATACAGGCCATTATTCGGTCATATGTATCTTCATCAATTGGAGAAGCTGCAAACTGTGATTGCCCCACGCGGATTATGCTAGCCATTATCAACATTGCCTAGAGACAGAACGTACGTTGAGATCATTATATCGCTTTCACAAGAACATAACATATAATCGATTGGCCATAAAAATCATCTCTGCCTATACCTCGGCCCGAAGTGCATTAACGCGTGCAGGATCATCAGATATTTCCGTATATCGCATAACCAGCTTGGTTAACGTTGATGCCAATACTGACCCGAGGAAGAAGTCACCTCCAAGTATCAAGGCTACATAGAAAAGCAAATATGCCGCATAAGTTTCTCCAGCTGTAAAGACATCATTGCGGCCACTATCATTAATGAATTCTTATTTACTACCCACCTCTCAACGGGGGCTTGGTGGCAGATTTGACAGCCTCTAACTTGGCCATTGCAGATGAGTTGGACGAAAACGCAGACTCTGTGGCATATGTTCCATCAGCCAGGATTCTACGAGACGACGTAGGTAGAGTTTTCTGTTCAGTGCTTTCATCCGGCTTGTCTTCCTTTGAGGCTTCGTCAAGCAACTTCTACTTGTGGTGAGACCAGGATGGAAGATAGTGGTGGAGGATTTGCGTAAATAGCCAATACAATTATTACCACATATCCGCCCCCCCCCCCCCCCTCCCGCAAAAAAAAACGCGTACTTACCTGCTCGGATGCCAATATTGGGATTTCGCCAAGACCCGCACGAATTTGTTTCCACGACTCTTCGATATCTATAAATCATGAAGTAGATACGTTTGAGTAACTGACACATAAATGTAAATATCATCACGTATAAACGTTGTGGCATAAGAATTACCTTGTACTTCCGAACAATATTCGCCAACAATCCATAGAGCGCCTCTAAACACTTTTCCAGATTTGACATCCATAAACGTATCAAGCAACTTTTCTAATATCGAAGTTCTCAAACTTGGGAATTTCTCAACAACTTCTCTTCAATTACAGCAAGAAAGGGCAAACGGTTAGGGGCCAATAAACCATATCCGTAAATATTTTCGCATGATACCTCCATACCTAACAAAGGTGATTACATCTACAGCCGATGAATTACTCGAGTCGCCAAGGAATTCCATGAGCACATGAACGACGTTAGCAGCAACTTCGGAGAATTTAATAGCACACGAATGAATAGATTGGATTAATAGTTGGCGATATTCATTGTTCTGTTGAAAAATAAATAAATAGTCAATAAATGAATAAAACAAGGGTAATGTACTATGACAACGTGTCAGTTGATTACCTTTTCGTAGTCCTGATCGAGAGTTTTGCTGAGCTCTTTCTTTAAAAGCGTAATCACTTCTTGCACATTACGATTCGACACTAATTCCAAAGCGATACGAAGGGCCTTGCGACGAACCTCTATGTCAGGACTAAGAATAGTAACAATATAATATTCGTAACTCGGTTTTTACAAAGATTGCCACCGTCACCACTTGGTTTACAGCATTGTTGATTACCATTACCTTGACAACACGCGTAAAATATCCGGAACCAAGTCATCCAACACGTGCTCGTGTTTCTCACGCAATTCATCGAGTCTGTCAAGCACAATCAATTTTACGTTGTTGTCTGATTCCTTAACTATGAGCTCAATGTAACAAGATGCCGCCGCTAATATGTATAGAATGTATTAGAAAATTGTGCAGTACATATGTATCTTGCTTTTTTTTTTTCTCAGCCTACTTTACCTTTTACTGCAGCAGGTGCGTGAGTGAGAGCCATTAGC